GCAATGGTAGCTCTGCTAAGTAGGTAGTCTGAGTCCCTCATGACTCTTGTGGTCTTGGATGCCATAATCCTGGTAAGACTGCAATGATGTTATAGTAAACACTGCATGTATGAGATTAATGTGTGTCGTAACTATCTTGTAATACAAAGAATAGTCTGAATACAGGGAGGAAGAAGATCCAAGAGTATGTATGTGTGTTGTTCTATAAGAAATATTTAGGATCCCCCTAAGTTTAGTTGACTAATGGTTAAGTCATTACAGTAAATCTTATGTTCCTAAATGAAATGCAAATTAAAAATGCATGTGTTGGAAATGTTGAGTATGACAGAGTTACAGTATCCAGGGTTTGTTTTTTTCCATACCTTAGTATTTTCCTGCTTTATCTTCTGTCTGTCTAGTTTTACTTGTTACAGCCTTTTTAGGAAACAATATCTCAAATAATGATGCATAAATTTTGCTTTCTTTGGTTGGAATAAGGAAGGCCAAAGATCTTTCTTCAATTAATAACTTTTTGCAGTGTTTTCCTTTTAAATGCTTTGACAGTCTTTTCCCCCACTCAAAGTAGATGAAAAATGGCCAATTTGTTAAGTGACTGCTGAGGGAAGGAATTTCCCACACTCCAGCCCCATTTCACTTTCATTTAAAAGAAAAAAAAAAGACCACACACACCAAAAAAAATAACCCACACTCACACAACCTCCTTCCTAGTTCCTTTCCATTTAATAACTTTAAAACAATGTGCAAATGCAAATGGTTTCTGTGAAACTGGTAAACATAAGTTAAGAAGAGAAAACTGAGAAGGAGGGTAGGCAGATAGCTGATCACCATAAAATAGTTTCAAGCCTTTACCTGCACCACCAGGTTTCCTCACCATTCTTAAAGCCAATATTGGCAATGTTTGTTGCCTGTATTTACGTAACCAAACCAATACTCATGCTGTGTAGCGGAGTCCTGATGGCTTTTATTATCAGCTGTGTCTTATTTTTTCCTTTCCCCAATTGGTTATTTTAATCTTGAAGCTAAATTATAAACATGTACTTCCTCCAGGATAACTACGTACCCAAAGTCCAGATGGCTCTAAAGCTTGGGCTGGTTTACAACCTGGTCAGACCCCTTGATGGATTACAGCTCCTCCTTGCAGTTTTGTAGGCTTTCCTCCTCTTCAAAAAGAAGCATATATAGGAACGTTGAAAGAGGAAGCTATGAATTAGATCAGTCACCTTGGTTCTTTTCTTTTTTGTATTTTTCAAATTTTTGTCTTTTTGGCTTTAACGTGGCCTATCTCCAGCTATCAACAGAAACATTCCACTGTCACCCTAGCTTTGTGGTTTAGAAATGTAGGACAAAATTAATAAAAATTTCTATTCCATTTCTTTTTTCTAGTCACTGCTCCTGAGAGCCATCACTGTTTTGCTTATACTTCTAAATTCAAATATAGAGCTTCTTCATCAGAGATCCTCTCCTCAGTCTCACTATCCTCTGTGCTCTGACTTGAAGAGGTGTCCAAACATATGTAAAGGACCAAATGGGCTGTAGCAGACATATACTATGTACTTTGAATGCTTTTGTGCTTTCCTTGCTAGTTTATTTTGGTATTTTTGTTTGCTATGACTTTTCCTTCCTCCTATTTTTTTGATTTTAGCCAGAAACACAAATATGTAGTACTTAAACACAAAAAAATCAGGAAATATTTCAGCTTTTGCTAAGGATCCTAAAAAGCTCCAGCAAATAGCCACACCTCTTTGTTCTGAAACCTAAAAAAAAAAATAATAATAAAAAAAATTAGTG